GTGTGTGTGTGTGTGTGTGTGTGTGTGTGTGTGTGTGTGTGTGTGTGTGTGTGTGTGTGTGTGTGTGTGTGTGTGTGTGTGTGTGTGTGTGTGTTGAAAGCCCACATCAGCTGCATCATCTTACCTTGTCTCTGGAATTTATTCAATTTTTTTTGGCAGGTGTCAACTTAATCGTGTGAATGCAGATATAACAAATGAGTGCTATGACTTCTGGTTTTTGTATCATTTTTATTTTTCAAAATTTTGAACTTCATTCTCAAAAATTGTCCCCATAGAAATACACTGTGATCTTTTCAACTCAACGTTCTTTTAGACATCTGCTTCATCATACTTGCTCTACTTTTGTATCATTGTGCCACTTTTAGTTTTTAGCTTTTTATTTATTTATTTGATATTTTAGCTCTCAGATTTGCTGTAGCTTCTAGCTTTTGTGACTCCTGGCTTTTAGTTAGCATTTTGCTGCTTTTAGCTTTAACAACTCAATTTCAGCTTCTTCACAAGGAGGTTCACAATCTCAGCAGTCATTCAGCTTTCAAACTGCCTTCTCCAGAAAACTCCATGCCACACACAGGTCTATGAATTTGCGACAGGGTCCGTGTTTTTGTGTAAGTGTCTCTTTAACACTTTTCCAACCAAACAACCAGCTCAGAGCCAAGTGTTTCATAACAGGATTAGGAATGAGTCACAAACTGAATTTTATTTAGCAATAGGTAACAAGTTCTGTTTGTAATAAAAAGCCCCTAAAAAAAGTTGCATAACAAAAACTTGTTCACGGGTGGGTACACATGTAATTAGCTTCACTTGCAATGCTCAAGTCAGATCAAGTCTCACGTCCTTTGTAGCAAATAAACAAAGCACCCTAAGAAAAGCAATATTAAAAATCAACTTGTCTTTAATCTTTACATTGGCAAACTCAACTCGATGTTAACTTATATTGACGTCCGTTTAAGGGATTTCTTTTGTGCAAACATTCTGAGGAATTTACAAAAAAAAGTAGAACAATAGAGTTGAAGCAAGTTCCTCCACGTGTTGCATCAGCTGTCACCTAATCCTGGCATTAAATCCAGCTGAACTCAGCTGAACAGTCAGCCTTCTCATTGTACCCACAGAGTCCGGTGTGAGAATTTTAAATCAGCTTGAAATGTTATCCTTTGAGTCCAAGGCGATGTTTGGCCTCAGTGTGATGTTGTGTTTCCTCAGCAGTTTGTTTGGTCTCACTCGTGAGAGTCGAACTGAAGAGAGCGCTCTGTTGTGGGAGAATTCTCTCCATTTGTTCAATGAAGCTGTTTTATTTAACAAAGAAGAAACCAATCATACCAAATACACTTTATGAGTGGAACGATATCAAATGTGTCGTTAACATCAGACAAAACAATGGTAAATGGACTGTACTTATAGCTCCTTTCTGTCTTATCAAGATAGTCAAAGTGCTTTACAAGTGCTCTCATTTACCCATTCATACAGAACCCTACTATACAAACTGCATCTGTAGAGATGAATCAGCACTTTAGATCACATTCACACACCGATGGGACACACATCGGAGGCAATTAGTTCAATGTCTTGCCCAGGGATACTTCAGCATGTGACTGCTGATGGAATTGAACCCCCAACTCTTGCATTGGAGAACGGCTGCTCTAACCACCACCACCACTCCTGCTGAGGTGCTGTGAGGACGTTGCTGCACAAAGAGGAACTTTTGGCCAGTCTGCCTCACATGTGATCAGCCACTGAAGGAC